GGAAGTGGCGCTGTAGCTCAAGTGGTAGAGCGCTCGCCTTGAGCTGAAGAACTGAGGGACAGCGCCCAGGCCCAGAGTTCAAGCCCCACGACTGACAAAAAAAAACCAAAAAACTCATTATCAATCATTTTTATGTTGTCATGAATTTCTAAAAAAATTACTGTTAAAATTCAGCACTCGTTTTTCCTGTGTGTGTGTTTGTGTGTACATGTGTGCATATGTGCTGGTCCTGAAGCTTGAATCTTCGGCCTAGGCACTGTTCCCAAGCTTTTGTGCTCAATACTAATGCTCTACTATTTGAGCCACATTGCCAGTTCCAGGTTTTTAGCAGTTAATTGTAGATGAGTCTCATGGACTTTCCTGAACTGGGATCCTCAGATCTCAGCCTCTTGAGTAGCTAGGATTACAGGCATGAGCCACTGATGCCTACGTAGTTTTCCTTCTAATGTTTAAATCCATATTTGGCCAGTGGGATTCACCTTGAGCTAGTTCCTGCATCCTTTTGATAGGATTCCCCAAATTTTTCTAGCATTTCCTAATTTTTAGGGCCAGAAGATGTATGAGGTTTTCTTTGTACTCTTGTCCTAAACCTGGGATCAGCTTTCTAATGAGTCCCAGTTACTTTGAGTGGATAATAATTCAGATCTAGAGGATGGATGTACTCATTGCTACATGTATTATTATTATTTGCCAGTCCTGGAGCTCGAACTCAGGGCTTGGGCACTGTCCCTGAAATTCCTTTGCTACGACTCTATCACTAGAGCCACAGCCCCACTTCCAGCTTTTCCTGTTTATGTGGTACTGAGGAATCGAACTGAGGGGTTCATGCATGCTAGGCAAGCACCACTAAACCCCACATTTCTAGACCACTAAATTTATTATTATGCTACATATTTGTGTAGTAGCTTTTAGGCTCTTTTCAGTGAACATACTTAGAAAGTTATATGTTGATTTGCCATGAGTTTCTACTGATAAATTTAATCAAAACCCCACACCACTGGATTCTTTTTATTTTGGGTCTGGTCGTAGGGCCTGAACTCTGGGCCTGGGCACTGTCCCTCAGCTCTTCAGCTCAAGGCTAGCGCTCTACCACTTGAGCCACAGCGCCACTTCCGGCTTTTTTCTTTTTGCTTATGTGGGGCTGAGGAATCGAACCCAGGGCCTCATGCATGCAAGGCAAGTGTTCTACCACTGGGCCACCTTCCCAGCCCCACCACTGGATTCTTGTACATGTTCAATTCTGTGTCTACTCTCCTTGAAAATGAAAAACCTTTGTCTTATAAACTGCTTTGTTAAAAGGCAACTCCTTTGTACAACTACTTAAAGATAATTTGAAAAAATAAAAAATAAAAAAGTCTGGGCATTGGTGGCTCATGCCTGCAATCCTAGCTATTCAGGAGGCTGAGATCTGAGGATCGCAGTTTGAAGCCAGCCTGAGCAATAAAGTCTGTGAGACTCTGGTGCTGGGAAGGTGGCTCAGTGGAAGTGGCATTGCATGCACGAGGCCCTGGGTTCGATTCCTCAGCACCACATAAGCAGAAAAAGCCGCAAGTGGCGCTGTGGCTCAAGTGGTAGAGCGCTAGCCTTGAGCTGAAGAGCTGAGGGACAGCGCCCAGGCCCAGAGTTCAGGCCCCACCACCACCACCACCAACAAAAAAAGTCGATGAGACTCTTACCTCCAATTAACCACCAGAAAACCAGAAGTGGAGTTGTGGCTCAAAGTTGCAGAGTGCTAGCCTTGAGCTAAAAAAGCTCAAAGACAGCACCCAGGCCCTGAGTTTAAGTACCACATTGACAATAACAAAAAAAAAAGAAAAACAAAAAAGAAAGAAAAATGTGGGAACATTTTGTGGTCTGTTCAAAAAAAATATGGCTCAGTGATAGAATGTTTGCCCAGCATGAATGAAGCCCAGGTTTTGATTCCTCAGTATCACATAAACAGAAAAGGCTGGAAGTGGTGCTGTGGCTCAAGTGGTAGAGTGGTAGCCTTGAGCAAAAGAAGTTCAAGGACAGTGTCCAGGCCCTGAGTTCAAGCCCCAGGACTGGCAAAAAAGAGAAGAAAAGAAAAGAAAACCTTTGCCTTTTAGAGTATACATGAAATAATTTATAAACATTAACACCTTTCACGAGAACCTTTCTAAAATTATGGATTCTTTGCAGTTTTACTTGTTCTTGACTACTTGTTCCCTTCCTACTAAGGATCTCTAATGTATTATAGTAAGAAGTTATATAAAATAATTACCTGTGTGTTACAGTATCAATTTAATATGTCGATTAGTTTGTTTTTGTTTATATTCACATTTTGAAGATACTTTGTTTTAATTTCATTTTTTGAACATTGTGGAACATTTATATGATTTAAAAATCAAAGTGAAAATGAGTGCCAGTGGCTCACATCTATAATCGTAGCTGCATGGGAGGCAGCAATGGGGAGGATAGCTTAGAAAGGCTAGCCAGGGCAAAAATGTTCATGAGACAGCATCTCAACTGATAAGAAAAATTAATGTTGTGCCAGGCGCCGGTGACTCACGCCTGTAATCCTAGCTACTCTGGAGGTTGAAATCTGAGGATTGTGATTCAAAGCCAGCCGGGGCAGGAAAGTCCATGAGACTCTTATCTCCAATAAACCACTCAAAAACTGTAAGTGGCGCTGTGGCTCAAGCGGTAGAGCGCTCGCCTTGAGCTGAAGAGCTGAGGGACAGCCCAGGCCCAGAGTTCAAGCCCCATGACCTACAAAAAAAAGATTGTTGTTGTATAGCTATCACCCCAGCTATAGCAGGAAGCATAAAATAGTTGGATCTCAGTCCCAGCTGCCCTAGGCAAAAAGTGAGATTCTGTTTCAAAAATAAAGCAAAGAAGTCTGGAGGTATGGCTCAAGTAGTAGAGAGCCTCCCTAACTAGACCCAAAGTTCAAACCCCAGTACTGCCAAAAAAATTAAAATGACATCAAAAGATAAATTTTGCTTTCATCTTTCCATCTTCTGCTTTGTTTCCATCCATCTCCATAGATAACCATTTTTGTTATTTTCTTTTTGTTTGCTTTTAATGGGGCTTCAACTCAGGGCCTCGTGCTTGGTCAGCTGCTGCTCTACTACTCGAGCCATGCCTCCAGCCTGTTTTTTGCTGGAGTCTCACAGACTTTTCTGAATGAACTAGTTTTGGCCTTTGATCCTCTAGATTTCAGCCTTCGGAGCAGCTAGGATTACAGGTGTTGTCCACTAGTGTCGGACTATCATTTTCTGGTTTATACTTCCTATGTTTATATTTACTAAAGTAAACATATAGAGTGTTATTTATTTATTCCTTCATTCATTTGTTAGTTAGAGTATATGGACCATCTCTCCAGCTTCTGACTACTTGTGTGTAATATAGAAACTCCTTTACATGCTGATGACATGTGGTAGCAGTGTGGCTAATTGTATTATTCTTAGTTTATATGAGCCACCATACCCACTCAAGTACAAATTCTTTGTCACAGAAATGTTTATATCAGAGAAATTGATCCTTTATATGTGCAAACATTTTCACCGGGGTTTTCTTTAATCCATCTCTGTAATTGAGTTTATTAGTCTCTTTTTCTTGCAAGTAGATTCAGAATAATAGACATAAAGATGTTTACCACATCTAGATTATAAAGGAAATGAAAAAATAAAGTAGTTGTAGCCAGGTGTTAGTGGCTTATGCCTGTAATCCTAACTATTCAGTTCATTTTAAAGATTTTTCTTTTTGTTCCTTGTTTAGAAATTACTTATTTTCATATTTTGCATTGTTAATATTTTTTTCTCAAAGTCTCATATTCAGGGAATGGGTTAAACCAGGATTTTAGTTTTCCATTTTGATTTTTGGCTGCTGTATGTTTCTAAGTAATTTATATTCCAATAGGAAAAGATGGCAGAGCACACAACAAAGACAAGAGAAATGTAAAGAAACCTGTGGTGACAAAACCAAACAGTATCAAGTCAATGTTTATTGCTAGTGCTGGAAAGAAAACTGCAGATGTGAGTTTCACGGTTTTCTTTGTATTGAATCTTTTCTTTCATGCAGTGAATTTAACGTTTGTAGATAATGGGTGCTCAATATGTGTTTGAGTAACATTTTCCCAATTTCACTTACTAAGTTAAATTTAAGCACCTCAGTGGTTAGAACTTGGGAGATAGAGAAGAAAATTGAACAGAAAAGCTGAATTGGGAAATGTTTAATTTCAGTGACTTAGCAAGAAGTCAGACCAGAGAATGAAGATGGAAATAAAAGATAAGAGTTATACATGACAAGTTGTATATAGACAGGTGTTGTTAAAATCTGTGAATTGTAGGTGAAAGTATTCAGTGGGAAATGGGAAGGCAAGGAATGACTGGTTAGGGTCTCCCTTTCTTGGGCATATTGTGTGGGTGAAAAAAATTTTTTTTAAATTTTATTTATTTATTTTTTTTGGGTCCGGTCGTGGGGCCTGAACTCTGGGCCTGGGCGCTGTCCCTCAGCTCTTCAGCTCAAGGCTAGCGCTCTGCCACTTGAGCCACAGCGCCACTTCTGGCTTTTTTCTTTTTGCTTATGTGGTGCTGAGGAATCGAACCCAGGGCCTCGAGCAT